TTAGAAAAAGTTTACAATGAGAATGAAGATTCTAAAGCAACAGTTATGTAAGTCTTGAAGATTTTGAAAATATATCGCACAAGTTTCGCGAGTTAAAGCACCATTTATTTTTGTATAGGAAAAACATATGATACCAACATAACTATTTAGAACATTCATGGGAGTCAGGAACACTATCTCATTGAAGTATGCTTTCAAAATAATCTTGCTTCAATTAGGACTTTTGAAGGTTGTAACGTGGTTTAGTTCACGGTTTTTAGAAAAAAAGATTTTAAGGCTCAAAGTATTTGGTGCCCACCCCCTTCATGATGTTCTCCAATCCTATGTTCAGTTAATTCAACATGAGTGTTCATCTCTCAAAAGGATTTTGTGACGATTAAGGAAACGACGAGGTTTTCGGAGTAGAAACCAACCTTATGTCTTCGTGTTTGTAGTCACCAATTTGCTCTTTGTTGAGGACTTTTCTTTGCAGTCCTTTTCTTTGCAATTTTTATTTTCCCTAACTTTTGCCTGAACTAATTCTTTTGAATTGATAGTCCAGCGGGATGCCTTAATTTTGTCTAAGTCACACGTTTTCATGTTTTTTTTTGACTTAGCAGGCTTTTTCTTTTTCTTGATTTTTGACTTTTTGAACAAAATGTGTGACATTAGCTTGTCTTTGCTTGTTGAGAGGATTGTGATTGCCTCGTTTCTTGATGAATGAGGGATAACATTGTGGTTCCACATCTTTTGGCTTCATTATACATGAAAGATAGCCCTCGTAGTTTCTCTTCAAAAAACATCTTCCTTATGAATTTCGAACACTCAGTCAGATTAACTAAAAACTACCCTGCCCCAGGTTAAAGTTCAAGGTTTTTTTTTGTATAGAAAAGAAACTTCTACTTCAAGGCTCAAAAGGGGTTAGCAAGGGATTATCTTCCTTATATCTCCAGTGTTTAGGGATTTGAAACAATGCCTGTACATCATCAGCAAGATTTTATCCAAAAGCAAACAAACAGAGATTTTGTGTTCTTTAGATCATCATCCTCCCCTCAATCTCTGCCTAGGCAAGAGAATGAGCAACAATTTGGTATCATAGTGCAAAAGCAATTTAAAATTTGAAAACAAATATGAGTGAAACGAATGAATTTCTTCAAGACAAACATACTCATTGTATTAAGATAATCATTCAGATGCAAATAAGTTCTTTCATGCAAACAATGTTTTGATAAACAAGAAAAAAATACAAAAAGCATAAATAAGTTAATAATCTGGGAAGGCTTTCCATCTGGACTTGAATTACCGAAAACATCCTTCAAAAATCAAAGTCACTATCAATCGTGTTTACTCTTCGGCGCCTGCTTGATTTGAACTTCAAAACCAACGTCCTTGAATGACAAGATACCACTTCTGACCAACTTCTAAACCTCAATCTTCAAAGCAAAGCAACCCTCCAAGTCATGCCCAGGAGCACCTTGATGAAAGGTACAAGCCAAATCAGCTTTGTAGTACCAATGTATCTTCTCAGGAACCTTCGGTGGAGGTCGGGTCTGAACCAAATTCCTCTGCATCAGGATAGGGAACAACTCTGTATATGTAATTGGAATTGGATCAAATTGGGTTTTCCTCTGATTAGGAACTTGCTGATTCTGTTGATGAATAGGAGAAACATGATGATTCTGACAATGATTATTTCTTCCTCTGGCTCTCTTCTTGGAAAAGTTATTATCAAACTTCTTCACACCATTAGTTGAGCTACCATCTTCATATGAACATCCCTTTCAGACATCTTCTTCTAGACGCACTCCCACATTCACCTTGTCAGGAAAGTCATTAGGTGCATTAACCATCACCTTCTCATGAGAGAATGATTTTAGAGTTTCAGTGAAGACTTTTATCATCGCTTCCTCCATCCTAGAAGGATTGACTTGGGCGGTAACCAAAATTTCAACCCAAAACAGTCGAGTGATCCATACTAGCTTTCAAATTAGTCATCTCTCTACGAAGTTCAGAAACCTCTTGCTTGATATTCTCCATTGTCCTCTTAGCGCGAGTGTTGTACTAGTGAGACCAAAGGAAAAATAAGACTTGGAAAAGGACCTTTGAAAGTGAAATAAAAAATGTAGAATGATACATGATATGCAAAAGAGAGTTTTTATTTGATTTTCAAGGAACTCAAGATAGTAAGTTGTAAACATCAAAGTATGAAGATAGAAGATGAATTTTAAATTGGCTCCAAACATTGATCAAGTTATCATCAAGATCAATCATCCATTTTGGTGGATTAGGGTTTTCGCCCTATCAACACCCAAGATCCATTGAGCTTGACGAAACTTGTGATGTTTACAAAGAAAGACCTCCAAATTCCTTCAAAGTCAAGTGAAAAGGGTTTTATGGATGCATGAATGCATGGCTATGCAACAACCACAAGCAAGGTCACGAATAAAGTCGAAAGGTTCAACGTCACGAGCATGGAGTCAAGGGTAAAGAACATCCCCAAGGTATGTACTAACGGTTTAATCACACCTGCAAGACAAGGTTCTAAGAATTCCCGGAGTCTACATTCCTCCTTCGGATATTACCAACGTCTTGATTACTCAATAATCAGCAATATTCTCAAGAGAAACTCATCCGAGCGTAGCATCGCGTAACAATTACTTCCGGATTACTCTGTTATAATCTTCGCGCTACACCTAAAAGGCCAAGATGGGTTAGGGATCTACGGTTCCCAGCTTCTCTGGCTCCCAGGTCGAAAATAATAATGTCTTCCCGATTACTCGGTAAACAAATATTACGTTCAAAAGGGCCTTCCACTGAGTGGGGGATCTCATGCCTCCTTCTTCGGGATTACTCCCTCAAAGTTAACATGACTATACCGCCCGTCCTATTCCTAAGTGTAACTTAGTCCGGGTATAGGACTTATCCTTTGTAAATATTATCAACACCCAAATAATCATAATATATACATATAATCAAACAATCAAATAATGATAAAACAGATAAAACAAATTAGGCTTAACCCACTTAGGGATGGACCAGCAAGAGGTCAATCTTTCCCCAGCAGAGTCGCCAATTCTGTAGCGGTGAAAATCGGAGATCAAGCTATTAATTAACTTGACTCACAAAAGCAAGAGTCGCCACCGCGCTTTATTATTTCCAAGGGAAAAGGGAAAAGAGCGAAATAAAACCCTAAAAATATGCAATGTATAATAATACTTAAAAGTAATGAAAATACAATGTGTTTTGAAAAGAGATCGAGAGTTCGGGGGTTGGTTATACAATGGGAAGGTATTAGCACCCAATGCATCTGCGGTACTCCGCAGGAACCTTTTGAAATATCTGTTTTTTTGGTTAGAAATTATTTGTTTGATAAAAATGGTTCGTTTGGCTAAAAAATGGGTATGAGAGATTTTGAAGATACGACGACCTAGTGTCGAAGTTTTGACTTAAAAGGTGTGAGTTTGAAAATGGAGTCTTTTGGGAAAATTATCTTAAGTTTAGCAAAATAGTAAACAAGCAAAAAAATGAATGAAGGGGGTTCGCGCAATCGCATGAGATAGGTTCGGTGACATGAAGTCAACAAATTTAATTCTTTCCCTTGGAGTTAATCATAAGCAGGTAGATCTAATATTCGAGTAAGAAATCATAAATAATTAAAATCCACGAGAAACGAACAAGGTAGATAACAAGATAAATTGTAAGAAACTAAATGAATGGACAAAGAAGAATCATGAATAAAAGAAAAGTGTAATTAAAAATTATCTAAACTAATTTGAAATTCTAAGGTTACTAAGTAAACTAAACTTAAATTCTAAAATGTCTAACTAAATTGAATAAAATTTCAAAGTTAATAACTAAAACTAAATTTAAATTATAAAATTACTAACTTAAAATTCTAAAGTTAATAAATTAAATCTAAAATAAATTAGAATTCTAAAATTACTAAGTTAGATCTAAACTAGATTAAAAATTTTAAAATTAGTAAATTAAATCTAAACTAAATAAAAATTCCAAGGTTGCTAACCTAAAACAAAGAAAGTTCCAAAGTTACTAAACTAAATATAAATCAAATAAAATTCTAAAAGTTTACTAAGTCAAATCATGAAATAAAATCTAATTCTAAAGTTTACTAAGTCAAATCTAAATGGAATAAAAATCTAATTCTAAAATTTACTAAGTCAAATCTAAATAAAATAAAATCCTAAAGTTACTAAAATAAAACTAAACAAAAAATTATAAAGTTTACTAAGTCAAAACTAAAACAAATAAAATTCTAAAGTTACTAAATTATATCTAAATCGAATAAAAATTCTAGAGTTATTAAATTTAATCTAAACCAAAATGAAAATTTTAAAGTTACTAAATTAAATCTAAATCGAATAAAAATTCTAGAGTTATTAAATTAAATCTAAATCAAATGAAATTCTAAAACTATTAAAGCTCTAAAATTACTAAATTACATCTAAACTAATTTAAATATAAATTAAGTTAATTATAAAATTACTAAATTGTAAAATTAAAATTCTAAAGTTGTTAAATTAAATCTAAACTAGTTTAAGTATAAACTAAATTCATTATAAAATTACTAAGTTAATCTAAACTATTTAATAATAAAATTACTATCTTAAATCAAAACTAAAAATTGAAAAATTGAAAAATAAAAATTAGTTGTACATAATGAGGTTTACTGTTAGGTTAAAATATAGTGTACCTATTTCAAAACTAACTAAAATTAATCCTAAGCTAATGTAATAATGATAATAAAAAAATATGAGCATGCCTACTCCATCATCAATACTCGGTCAACATTTCAACACCCCTCCATCCCTTAAAAATTGCTTTGAAAAAGTAGGTCCAATGAGGAGCTGACACGTGGCGAAACATTATAACAAAAAATAAAAATCAAACAAAATGTAACACAAATATAGTTGAAACAAAGTCAGGAAAAAAAGTTTATCTCACTACCTACTTTTCTTCTCTTCGCAATACAACGCCAAAACCCAATATTTCAAGAACCAAACATGAAGGACGGTGCCGACCTAAGTTTCGATGCGGAGACGGTTGCGGGTGGCGGCGGGCTGTCCGGTGCAGATCTATTTGCGGCGGGAGTTGGAGGAGTCGGTCGGCGTGGGTTGCGTGGAGGTTGCCCGGAGAGTAGCGGCAAGTTGCGATTGATGTGTTGCTGCGTGCGGAGAAGTTGTGTCATTGATTAGAGGTGGACTCGCGAGAACGGAAGGTGGTGGTTGGCGAAGATTGATGGTTAGCAAGTTGTTGGGCTAGGCGTTTTGTGATGATGGAGAGGAACGGTAATGGCGGTAAGAGGTTGAGAGAGTTCTTTTGACAGAGAGTGAAGTTCTGTGACCGGAAGAGGGTTTCGGTGGTTGGAACTGTTGTTGTGCATTTGCATTTGGAACTGTTGTTGTGATGGAAATCGGTGAGTGAAGCATAAATTTTATAGGATGTCACTGAAACATTTTTTCAAAGGTGAGTTGAAAGAGTTTGAAATAATTTTTTTGATAATGAATTTGTTTCTCTGTATTCTTGTGTGTGATGCCTCCTTTTTTTCTACTGAAGTGAATTCTTGATTTATAGAAGAAGAATGATGAAATTTGGGAGAAAGGTTGGTGAAATTCGAACAGATTTAGTGTCTAGACATAAACCCTTTTTTTATGCAATTTTGATTTAACCATCTTTATGCAATTGTTGGACTGATGTGGTGCATATTTGGATAGTTTGACAGTAAGGTTTTGGAGCAGGTTGGGATCTGATTTTGCAGGGCAATAGTGCAGTCTTTTGGAGTGTTGTGTTTGTTTTATGGCTACAAGGATTGTGGACAAGGAAAGGTCATAATTTGACTGTTTTTTTGGCACTTATGCAGGGTTTGGAGCAGCATACAGTATGGATGATTTTGAAGCAAGGTTTGGACTGATATGCAGAGTAGGTCTTTTGGCTATTGTTTTGACATTTTGTGGGGTCTATTTTGAAGCAATTATGTTTGGATGTGAAGCATGGCAAAGTGGAAAAAGCAGCAAGGAAAAGCTACAAGCTCAAAACCTGGTTTCATATAGCTTTAGGAGTTAGAAACTTTTATGTTTGACTTTTCTTTTTTTTTTATTTATGAAGTTTCAAATGATGTAATTTGGGAATTTAAACTTGTGCAACTTGCAAATGGATGAGACAAAGGTTATTTGGAACTTTGAAATTATATTTTTGAGATGTCTTAAGAATTGAATGAGTTTGAATAATGGATGATGAATAGTTAGAAAATGATTTTGTATTTTAGGCACTTGAAACCTACACTTTGAAGAGTAGTGAATGATATTGTAATGGAATTACTTTGTAATTTTCTTTCTCTATTTTTGACAAAAAACAAACAAATAATAACATAATAGTAACAATAATATAAGAAGAAGAAAAAAGTATTAGTAACAATAAATAAAATAAAATAATAAAATGCAACAATGATAATAACAATAATGAGAACAAAAATAAAAATAATTAGTAACAATAAATAATAAAATGCAATAAAGATACTAATAATAATAATAATGAGAAAAAGGGAAAATAGTTAGTAATATCTAAAAGAAATAGAAATAGATTAAAATAAGAAAAAAATAATAATAAGACAGATTTTTGAACTAAAACAAATTCATTGGAAATGTGATAGAAAAATGCAAATGATAAACTATTTTAATTCTTTTTTTTTTAAAATAGAAATTAAAATGATGAATAAAAACAAGAAAGTATGCGAAATGATTGATTTTTCAAATTAACGACAAAATATGCACCAGTCGAAAAAAGTGAAGGGGCGAAAAAAGGGGTGCGACAGTTGTGCCTTGATGAATCAGTCTTCGAGAATCCATAATCAACCGTACTTTTGGCTTGGGAGACTCAAAACCTTAATTGAGGCGCGACACCTGATGCTCTTGATTCAGACCTGTCTCTGCACATGAAGCAAAAGAAGACATGAACATACACCTTTGTATGGATTAGAAATTAGTGATACATAGGCTAAAAATGTTCAAAACACTTGACAATCTTCGCATAGTCGAAGCTCGAAGGTGAGACGTTAAAACCGACCGTATTTCGTGACCTTGACTTATCTTAAAAATGCACAAATAAAAATGGGATCTTAGGTCAAAAATTGGGGTACAACAGGCGCCATTATTTTGAAACACTTTTATAGATGAAAACGGAGTGGATGGGTACCTGCATTTTGTGAGTGTGGGTGTGTGTAAGGGATAGCCATCCTTAAACGAAACAAAATGCAAAAGGAAAGAAAATGAACACAACAGTTTATAGATGAAAACATCCAATGATTCATTAAAACATGGCATATGATAATGAAGAAAATCAAGCCCTTACAAATGGACCTATATGCCCCGGGAAAGGCATAAGGTGAAAATAGTGTACGAATTGTTTAGTTATTACAGACCAAAAATAGGAAATTGTTCAAAGATAAATTACTGGTTGATGAAAGTGATGGGAACAAAGTCCTTCGCTTCCCAGTTGCTTAATCCTCCTTCGACGGTTGGAAAGATCCAATCTTCAAAGTTGTCTTCTTCATCAACATCTTCTAAGGCATTAATTCCATGGTCAGTGATTTTTACGGGTGGTCCTCCAGCCCTGGAGCGACGCACAGCTTTCTGGCCAGCAGCAATAAAACCTAGTCCGAACTTGTCTGTCTTGTGAGGAAAATCAGGCAGTTGCCCCCATACTGTACTCCTTCCTTCTTTGATCAGCCTCTGCATCTTTGAGGCATGCCATCCTAGACACAGGCTTGGAAATAATAGGCACATCAGTCATTGTCTTCGCAATTGCGACTTCAGGAGAAACTTCCTCAAAATGTTGGAAAGGCGTTTCTATGAATTCGCCATCCAACTCCACATAGCGGAAGGAGTTAAGGTGACTTATCATGTACTCTTCCTCACCATGAACCGTTATAATCTTACCCTGAACAGGATACTTTAGCATTTGGTGTAAAGAGGAGGTAACTACCCCAGCATAGTGGATCCACGGCCTTCCCAACAAGCAAGAATATGAAGGACAGATGTCCATCACATAAAAGGTGGAGTTGAAAATTTTTGTGCCCACTTTGATAGGAATGTCCACTTCTCCATGAACCATCCTCTTAGAACCATCGAAGGCTCTAACAATGATGTTATTGGGTTTGAGGGTCAATCCTTCGCAGTCCCGTCTATCCAACGCCTTTTTCGGTAGTACATTCAGGGATGAACCGGTATCCACCAGGACATAGGCAAGTGTGGTTCCCCTGCATTCTATTGAGACATGCAGCACGTCATTGTGTTTCCTTCCCTTAGGGGTCAAATCAGCATCGGAAAAACCAAGACCATTATCAGCAGTAAGGCTGGCCACGCACTCTTGAAACTGGTCAGCCGAAGTTTCTTTAGGCACGTGTGTCGTCTTTAAAAATTTGATCAAGGCCTTAGTGTGGGCCTCAGAGCAGAGTAGAAGAGCCAACATGGATATTTTGGAAGGGTTCTGCCCTAGCTGCTCCACGACGTCGTAGTCTCTCTTTTTGATTATCTTTAAGATTTCTTCCATTTCTTTCTGGGTGGTCTCGGGGATTACCACAGTCTTAGCCTTCATCCTGAGAGGCGCTTCTAGTATCCCCTTACCCTTATCGGTATTATCAACAGAGGGTCTAACTTCAGGAGTATCCAATTCTTCAATTATCGGGCCTTGCACAGATGGCTTAACAGGCACAAAAGCTTTCGAGGGTCCTAAGACTGCTCGGGGGGAGCAATCTCCGGAGAGAAAATATGTCGGTTGCGAGTTATCTTGCTTGTTCCTGCAATGTTCCCCATATCAGGGGTTTCATCATCAGAATTCTCTTGGATTGATTCAATCTGTTTGATACCATGATAGAAGATTTCTCCTCCGTAGTTCCATGGTATTGTCTTGTTAGATTTATACGGGACAGGCCCCGGCATGGTGATTTTCAACGGCACAAACTTAGGATCAGGCGTAATCTTGACAGGCCTTTTGCAAGCCTTGGGAAGATTGTCGGAGATGGTTATTATTGCAATGTCATTGGTTGAAGTAACAATGGTAGCAGGAGTAACAGGAGTGAAGGTATCAACATGAGTCTTTTGGAAGAGTATCTCTTGGGTATCCATCAGGCGTTAGATGCCTGATTTCAATAGTGGGCAGTCAGCTCGTATGTTTAAACAAAAGTAATAGTCTTTTCCACAGCCTGGGAATATCCCGACTCTTATCAAATTCACTTTAATCACTGGTAAGGGAGTCAAAAGGTCAGCAACATTGGTAACATGAAGGTCTTCCATAATGGCATGAACATTATGACCGTGCTTGGGCATTGGGGCAGAAATCACATTAGGCTTTTCGGGCGCATCGAATTCTACCTCCTTGGCGTCGATCAGGTCTTGGATTTTGTTCTTAAGAGCCCAACAGTTGTTGGTATCATGCCCTACACTGTCAGAGTGGTAAGCACATTTTGCATTGGAGTGGTAATAAGGAGAAGAGGTATTGGGGTTCTTTGGCGCTTCCTTCAAATTAGTAAGATTCAGCTTTAGCAAATGAGGGAGTACTTGAGTCGGTGTCATGTTGATTCGGGTGAACTGTCGTTGTGGCCTTTCTACCCTTTGCTGATTTGATCTTGGCTGATTGCTGCGAGGTTGATCATTTGAAGAGTTTTGGATCATCACATCCCCCACAGTTGGCCGGCGCTTGATTCTTCCTTGGCTTTTCTGAGAATAAACAGAAGAAGCTTCCTTTTTAGCTGGGAAGGTCTTCTTAATAGCAGTGGACGCAGAGGCATCTTTCTGAATCTTACCACTTTTAATGCCGGCCTAGACCCTTTCACCGGTCAGAATTAATTCGGTGAATCCCGCGTAGGAACTCTCAATAAAATGATTGAAGAAAGGGCCAGATAGGGTCCCTAAAAACATGTCCACCAGCTCTCTATCCGACAATGGTGGTTCACCCTTCCAGCCAGATCACGCCACTTCTGGGCATACTCTTTAAATCCCTCGTTAGAAGCCATACCCATACTGTGTAGTTGAGTACGAGTAGGTGCTAAATCAGCGTTGTATTGGTATTTTCGATAGAACGCAGCAGCTAAGTCTTCCCAGTTATGAACCTCAGATCTCTCAAGTTGATAGAACCAGTCCAATTGTGTGCCTGACAAACTATCTTGGAAAAAATGGACCCAAAGATCCTTATCAGATGAGTGGGGTTGGATCTTTCTGACGTAGGATCTCAGATGCATTTTCGGACAGGACAAACTGTCATACTTAGCAAATGTAGGAACTTTGAACTTGGGAGGAATGACGATCCCAGCGACCAACCCTAGTTCTTCGAAATCTAAACCAGGTACCCTTTGCAACTCCATGGCTGCCAACCGATCCTCAAGATTTTTAAATTTAACATCCGCTGGGGGATATTGTTGTTCGGAGTAATCTCCGTCTTCTTCCTCTTCCTCTTCTTCTCCTTCAACTTCAGATTCAGAAGGCATTGCAGTTCCTTTTCCTTTACCAGTCCCTTCATCAGACGTCGAGGGGAATTCGAGAACTTTTCTAGCATGGTTTTTAAACCTCCTTCCCATAATGACCACATCGGGTCTTTTCTTCTTTTTCTCTTTATCTTTCCCCAACAGTGCTTTAAGGTCCTCTTGACCCTTTGCTAAGGTCATGAGGAGTTGCTGGAATTGAGAGTTCTGTGCTTGCAGATCCTTAACCGTCTGCTCTAAATCTATCTTGCTGAAATAAACAGCAGAAAGATAAGGAAACCTGGTGTGAAGACCTGTTTTTGCATATGATGAATGACATGTTATTCATGTAATGCATTCAAGGATTCAGAAATTCAAATTTGTTGCAAACAAAAAGAACACACGTCATATTAAGAAGAAATTTGTTAGTACATAAGTGCCCCATGGGCAAAATATTACAAAATTCTTAATGTAAAAAGACATTGCACATCCTCTTTGGTGCGATGTAAGTGTTGAGAGTTTCCTCCTCATGAAGTCGGCGGGTAAGCTCCAAAACCTTCTTCTCACTGGCATAGAAGCTGGCTTCAAAAGTATTCCGTTCTTCTTTGAG